AGAGAGAGAGAAAGAGAGGTAAATTATAACATCCTAATAAAAATTATACTCATCTGGAAAGGCACACAGACACACACACACATACACACACAAAGACAGAACATTGACTCAAGTATTCAATAATACCAGCTACTATTGAGCACTGGCAGACACAGACATACAGTGCCTAATCCACGTGTAGTCATTCAATCCTCACAATGTTCTATAAAGTATCGTTATTCCCATTTTATCAATGAGAAAACTCAAATGACAAGATATTAACACGCCCATGTTAGCATAAATGACAGACCCAAAATTCAAACCCAAGTTGGTTTTATTTCCAAAGCCCACATTCTCTCACATATACCAAAAACTGCATCTCTACCGCATATCCCAAATTGCATTTCCTTTTAACTTTCTCTTTAAAAGGTGTTATGTTTTTTCTATGAAACATATAAAACTTATTCCAAAGTACATATATTTATACATATATTTTGTTTTCCACATCAATAACAACAACAACAAAAATACTTTCCATTCTATCACAAAGATGTACTGGGCTGGTAATATAACTTAGTAGTAGAGCCCTTGTCCTAAGGTGCTAGGTTTGTTCCCCAACACAATACACACGTATAAAACTAAAGATTTTCTGAGCACAGTGGTGCACACCTGGAATTTTAGGACTCAGGAGACTGAGGCAAGAGGATAAGGAGATGAAGGCCAGCCCAGGAATATATACAGAAACTGTGCCTCAAAAAAAAAAAATAAATAAAATAAAATAAAATTCTCCGATTATAGTATGTATGGCTTAAGAGAAGGAAATAACTTATATTATCTCTTCCAGTACCTGTAAGCTTACAATGGTCAATCTGTTAAAATGACTGAAATCTACAATAATCCTCAGTTTCTTTCTCAATAGTCTTGGGTCTAAATAAATACTTACAGCGGGTAGACTGCTTCATGAGTACAGTGCACCGTGGTAACGTAATCTGGACTTGGGTTGTAAAGCATTGTGTACCAATCAGAAAGCATCACTACTCGGCAGGAACGGATATAAAGGACGCCAACTGGGTCACTCACAAGCAAGGTGATGATGGCTGCCATGCTGCATTCGAACAATGCGGTGATGTGCTGGAAAAGCGCACTGGAGCTGGAGACATAGGACAGGCACAATCCCAGAAAAAGGTTAATTCTTCAACAGCTCCAACAGGACATGTACATGTTTCAAAATAGGAACTATATGTGTTTCAGCTAAAATCTTGAAACTAAAGTCTTCCAAGATCAGAAAAGCTGAGCACACATAGAAATGACTTGGGAAGCTTGCAGTTTCATTCTCTAGGAAAGATGAATATTCAGAGAACACTTGCTGCTATCACTTCAGGTAGAACAGAAGAGCAGAGGTCTGCCTTTTATCTTTAATATGTTGCCAAACTTATTAAAATTTTCTTAAAGTTTTCTATTAATCCTCTTTATATAATTAAAAAAACAACAACAACAAAAAACATACATGTTGGGCATAGTGGTACACGCCTTTAATCCCAGCACTCAGAAGCTGAGGCAGGTGGATTGCCACAAGTTCAGGGCCAGTCAGGATTACAGAGCAAGACCCTGTCTCGAAAGAAAAAAAAAAAAAAAAACCCACATGAAAGATGACAAGGCCAGTAGTCAGGTGGTGAGGTCACTCAGCGAGTAGAGGTGCTCTGTCAAGCTTGATAACATGTATTTGATCTCTGAGACTCACATGGTGGAAGCAGAGAGCTGATTCCCAAAAGTTTTCTTTAATTCCACATGTACACCCATGGCACATAGGAATGCATTTATCCCACTGCATCCCCAAATAAACAAACGTAAAAAAAAGTTTAAAGATGACATGTATTAAAGTATGAAGGTAAAATCAACACTATAAGCTTACTACCCACTCAAGAGCTAGAATATGGTCAATGACTTTACCTACTTCTGGGATCCTCTATTCCATGCCCTA